GCCCCCCCAGAACTTGACCTTCTGGGACAGCCTCCCCCGGAGGTGGGTCCCGGCACAGCCTCTAACTGTGGGGTGCCTGGGGCTCCCTGGGGTCTCAGCGAGCAGACGGAAAGGGAGAACTTGTCTGCGAAGGCGGGGGTGGGGGCAGCTTCCAGGCACCGAGGTGGTGGGTGCTCCGGGCCCAGCCCGGGGGGCAGCCGGGGGGCAGGTGGGGCTGCCAGAGACGGCGCGGGAGCCCAGCTAAAGCAGGGTTTCGGAGGGACTCAAAATGGACGGGGGCCTGTCCCCCTTTGGGGGCCCCGGGGGCCTGGGGGGCCGGTCAGTCCTGTACGGTTTGGGAGCTGCTGGGAGAGGTTTGAGGGCAGCGTTTGCAGAACCAGGCGTGTCCCGGGGCCGGGCTGCTGGGGCTGCCGGGCAAGGTCTCTCTGTGTTGCCAGGGCCTGCCCGCGCCCACCTCTGTCACCCGCCGCCATTAGCAAGGGCAGGAAGAGTAACAGCTGGCATTTGGGCGGCCCAGTGCGGGGTGAGGCGCCAGAGGGAGGGTGTGTGGCCTGTGCCCAGGTCATCCCCCTGCAGCGCTGCCCCTCGGGCAGTTTCCCAGACCCGGGGCCTTGGGCCTGTGGGCTGCTCCCCTGCCGCCGCGTCGGCCCAGCCTGCCTGACCGTGACCCTGACTGGCCTTTAACTGAGCAACTGCCCCGTGCGGATGCTGGCCGAGAGCCCCGTGTCCCTCTCCCTCCTCCCTGTGCTCCTCCCTCCTCCCTGTGCTCCTCCCTCCTCCCTGTGCCCCTCCTCCTCCCCGTGCTCCATCCCTCCTCCCTGTGCCCCTCCCTCCTCCCTGTGCTCCTCCCTCCTCCCTGTGCTCCTCCCTCCTCCCTGTGCCCCTCCCTCCTCCCTGTGCCCCTCCCTCCTCCCCGTGCTCCATCCCTCCTCCCTGTGCCCCTCCCTCCTCCCTGTGCTCCTCCCTCCTCCCTGTGCTCCTCCCTCCTCCCTGTGCTCCTCCCTCCTCCCTGTGCCCCTCCCTCCTCCCCGTGCTCCATCCCTCCTCCCTGTGCCCCTCCCTCCTCCCTGTGCCCCTCCCTCCTCCCTGGGCGCTGCAGTGTATCAGCGCTGACCGGCAGGCGGCCTGCACAACTGCAGACGGAAGGTCTGAGACCAGAGAAGTGACTTGCTGGAGGCCGCCCCATGCAGCGGCCCTGGGCCAGCGTCGGGCGGCCGGCCCTGCCCCGTGGCCCTCTCGACTCTCCCTCCCACTCTCCCTCCTACTCTCCCTCCGACTCTCCCTCCGTCTCCCCCCCCCCGCCCCCTCCCGCCTTTCTCTGCCCCTGTGTCCGCCTCCCGCCTCTCCCTCTCCCTGCCACTCCCGCCGCTGCCCCTCGGTTCATTACTAAATAGTGTTTCCTGACGGATGAGCCAGAAAGGGCTGTGTGGTGGGGTCAGGTGGCTCAGGTGGTGGTTTTGGGGGAGACCGATGGCTCTTGGGGGTCATACTCAGAAAGCAGTTCCGTGGGGAACTGGCCCAGGGGTGCGGGGAAATGTCTGGGCAGGAGGCGCAGCCCGGCCGGGGGTGGGGTGGGGGGGGCTGTGCTGGGCGGGCGGGCGGGTCGGGGCTTCTTCCTCCTGCGTCTGCGTTGCCTGCCCAGGCCGGGCTCCCAAGGCAGGGCCCTGGGCGGTGACTCTCCTTGTCTGTGGAGAGGAGCTGAACTCTGCCCCCCTGAGATTCCTGAGGAGTTGGCGCCTCCATTCCAGAAACCTCCTCGCAGGACCCCTCTGTCCAGAGGCCCCAGGTGTGCCGGAAGTGAGGAAACCCGCGGAAGCCAAGTATGCCCGCGCACAGGCGCCCGCGCAGGCCTGTCTGGATACATCGGCCAAAACCCCTGGGGATCCCCCCCACCCGAGAGCTGCGGCTGGTGGGGCTCTGGGAGGCCCCCCTGGCCTTGCAGACGGCTGCCTCCTCCTGCTGAGCTCCCCCCCACCGGCCCCCGCAGGCGGCCTGTGCTCTTCCTCTTCTTGCAGCGGGGGCTCCACCCTTAGGGCCTTGCTAAACCTGAATGACCCTCCCCAGGGCTCCATCTTCAGTCACTTTGGGGGGATGCCAGTGCTCCACTTCTTCAGTCAAGAATTGGGGGGATGCCAGTGCTCCACCCACTGTGGTATCCAAATCGGTTCTTGGGTTGGGGGTCGGGTGTGTTGGGGGTGATGGCAGCACCAGCTTTGTGGCTGTGAGCAGGGCACATCCGGGGTGCCCAGTAAGGCCTCACCCCTACGACCAACGTGCCCCCCTGACAACCTTGCTAGCTCCGGAGCACGGAGCACTTGCATCTCCCCACCAACCAGCGGAGACATTCGGGAAGGAAGGCCGCCCCACAATTCTGAGACCAGCGGGCAGGGGAGCACGTGAGGTCCCAGGGCTGCTGGAAACTGGGGGGCGGGGGCGTCCATGCCCAGAAGGTGGCCCCACAGCAGAGTTTCAGTGGAGGGACACAGACGAGGGGCAGCTAGAGCCCAGATGGAGGGTCCGGCCCAAGGGGCGTGCGGAGGGAGACGCGGGGGCCACATATCCGTCGTGTGGACGAGCAGAGGCGGAGGGAGCCCCGAGCCAGCTCAGCCGGTGGGGCAGCATGATGGAGGCCGTGGGGGGCCGTGGCCCGACGTGGAGACCAGGGGAGCGTGACCGGTGACTGGTGCCGCCACCCCTGGCCGGGTGCTGTCCTGTGGCTGGAGGGGCTGAAGCTCCCGGCCGTTCCCCCTCCCTGCCGGGCTCTCCTCTCTCGTCCCCCAGACAGACCGTCCCCCAAGAAGCCACCCCGGGTGGCTGTGAGCCCCAGGGCATCCTGGGGGCCCCGCCACCCCACTGAGGGCGTTCAGTCACCCACAGAATAAAATCCTGCCTGTGCCCCACCCTGAGCTGGTCTCAGACCCCCTGGCTGAGCAAATCTTCGCCACAGCACCTCCCCCATCCTGCTCTGACGTCCTTCCAGAACGTTCTCCCCGTTCTGCCTGACTCTTGATTCTGCTCAGGTCTTACTTTAAGGCCGTCCTTTCTGGGCACCTGTCCTGCCCCGGAGCCCTGTGCTCGATAGCCCGGCTCCTGTCCCGCGGGCCTGCACGGCTGCCTTGCTTAACCCGAGTCCCGTCAGGGCGCAGCCCGCGCGGGGTGCGATGACACAGCTGCAGACCCCGCAGCGGGCACGTGGCCACCCAGGCGCCCGGGGTGTGCTCGGCGTCGCCCCCCGGCCACTGCAGGCCTCCATGCTGAACCCACGGTCTTTATCTCAGAGCAGCCCCGGGTTTGCAGGCGCTGAGCAGTGGTTTCCCCGCACGGTCCGGTGTGGACAGTCTGCCTCCCTGTGGCGCGTGCGTTCCCGGCAACGAGCAGCGCCGCCCGCGATGGGTACAAACTCCAAGTCCGCAGCTGGCGGGGGTCTGCTCCCGGCGTCCTGCCTTCGGTGGGTTTTGACGAAGGATTAAGTCTTGTGTCGTGACAGTGTCTCGCGCAGTCATTCCACTGCCCTGGAAATCCCCCTGCCCCCCTCGTCGTCCCTAGCCCTGCCCCGTGCCCTCCAGTCACCCCGAACCCTCCCCCCATTGCTGATTTTGCAGTCGTCTCCCTGCTAGCACCCCTACTCCGCGGAGCGGGGACCCCTCTGGGCTGCTGACCGGACACACCCGCTGTTCCCGGCTCGGAGCCTGGCGCGTAACAGATGCCCTATAAATATTTCTCTCTGCTTATCTTCATAAAAATAGGATTCTACTAAAGATGTTATTCTGCAATTTGCTTTCTACAAATATTGACAATCCACCTTGGAAACCTGCCCGTGTGGCGGGGGGGGGGGTGCTCTGTCTCTCTCGAACTTATGACGGCGGAGCCCCACCACCACCGGGGAGGCGGGGAGAGGCCTGCCCGGCTCCTCGCTGCGCCCGGCCCCTCGGTTTCCTCTGCCCCTCTGGCCGGCTCTCCCGCTCCGTGTTGTTGGGAAGCGAGTCCCCGCCAGCACCTCCTTTTATCTGCCAGTGTGTCCGTGTGTTTCTCTGAAAGAGAAGGCCTTTGAGAGCGTGGCCGCGGGGCTGGGCCCCGTCAGCAGTCACTGGGCGCCGTGGGCGGCGGCGCGGCGAGCGGGTGGCCGGGGCGGCGCAGCTCCGCTGGGGGCACGGGAGGTGGTTGGACTCAGGACCCAGGGGGGTTCCACGTCTCCCCGAGCTTTCTCCTGATCTCGGCCACCCTTATCCATCTCTGCCCCTTGCAACTCTTCTGGAGCCTTCCTGGGGTGCGGTGCGGCTGGCCAGACGCCTCTCTGGCCTCCGCGGGTCCGCCGAGCGTGGCGGGCCCGGTGGCCGCATCAGACGCAAGCACGTCGTTTTGACGGGACGGCTGCCGGCCCCGGGGGCGCTGCGCCCCGCTCTCCCGCTGTGAGGCTCTAGGCTGGCCACGAGCAGCCAGGAGCCCCCGTCCTCCAGCCCGGGCTGCTCCCCGCCGGCTCCTCCCTCTCCCGACTCCCTGGAACGCGCCTGTGGAAAGAACGGCCCTCGCGGGGCCGGCGACACGGGGGTGCTGCTTACACAGGACGGGCAGGACAAACGCTGGGTTCTTTCCCTTTATTTACCAGTTTCCAGAATAATGAGTCGCTTATAAATATTGCAGGGGATGCATGAATAATGCACGTGCGGGTGAGCAGAGAGGGACTTGGGCGTCGGGGGGCCCTGGCTGCTCTCAAGGGCGGGGCCACCCCAGGGCTCCACCAGGAGGGACTGGTGAGCGGCTCCTGTCACCCGCCTGGCTCGGGAGCCACATTAGCCGGGCACCCCCCGGGGGGTGAGAGCGTCTCAACACCCCACGTGGAGACGCAGGAGCCCCCGAAGCCGCCACCCAAGTGGGAGTGCGTGGTGAGCAGGGGACCTGCAGGGGCCCTTCCAGGCGGCTCCCCCAGGCCCCCCGGGGGCCCTCGCTCCCCCAGGCGCCCGGCCCGGGAGCTCCTGACCTCTCCGCCCCTGTGTCCCCAGGTGCAAGTGCAACCTGCACGCCAACCTGTGCGCGGTGCGCGAGGGCAGCCTGCAGTGCGAGTGCGAGCACAACACCACCGGGCCCGACTGCGGCAAGTGCAAGAAGAACTTCCGCACCCGCTCCTGGAGGGCCGGCTCCTACCTGCCGCTGCCCCACGGCTCTCCCAACGCCTGTACGTACCGCGCGCCCGGCCCCGCAGAGCCCGCACAGACGCACCCGTGGGCACGCCGCGCGGCACCTCCGGGGCGGCTCCCGCGCCGACCTTGCAGCGAGACCCTCTGGCCACCCCACGGCCCGCGAAACCCGGGCCGCCCTGCCCTGGCGCCCTGGCTGGGCCGGCTGAGCCGCAGGCCGTCTTTCACCCCCCCCACACCCCCACACCCCCGTTGGCCCCAGGCTAGGGGAAGACCCCGAAGGCGGTGGGGGGCGCTGGCCGAGACCCCACAGCCCGGGCGGGCTGAGTAGCAGCTCCATCCTCAGCAGAAGCCTTTCTGGGGCCTCTCCAACCCGCGCGGAGCCAGGTGCGGGGGGCCACCCCTACCCCAGCAGCCCTGGAGCTGGGGCCCCCCGGCCCTCTGCCGTCAAGAGCCCTGGAAGCTCTGCCGTGCGCCCATGGACACCCCTTGGGGCGCCCCCGAGGAGCAGTGGAGAAGGGCCTGGGCCGGCCCTTGGCTGCCCTCCTAGAGACTCGGCTGGCATCGCCCGGCCTTTGCCCCTCACTTGCCCTCAGGCACGGGGCCTGGGGAAGGGGGCGGGAGGGTTACCGGGCCCGGCCCGAGGAGCAGGCCTCCAGGAACGGTGAGCTGGGGGCTCCAGGCCGGTGGGTGGCGGCTTCCAGAGCCAGGCCTGGGCTCCTGCACCTGCCCCCTGCCCCGCGACCCCAGGCGGGCAGGAGCCCCGCATCCGCCACCACTGAAAGATTCATGTGACTCCAGGCCCTCGGGGCTGAAGGCCGCGCCGCAGCCGCGACAGGCCGGTCGGGGCCGTGACAGGCCTTTGAAGGGGAGACTCCCCACGCTCTGCCCTCAGAGCACGCAGAGCCCAGTGCTGACAACCGCCCTCCTGCCCGCCGTGCCAGCTGCCCCCGCTCTGGGCGGGATGTGGCCTCGCGAACCTTTTTTGGGGCCTCTCACCTCCCCGTCTGCTGTGCAGTGGCCTCCCCTCGTCCGCGCTGCCAGCCTCCCCTGCACCCCCCCCCGGTCCCCTTCCTGGCGCCCCTCGGTCCTCGCAGTGCCCAGGGCTCCACCAGAAGGACCCTCCAAGGGCCGCAGACAGACTTACCTCAGCTCGCACCGTGGCGCCCCAGGCTGGACCCCTCCGTGTCACCAGCAGGGACAGACGGGCCGGGCCTCCTCGGCTCCACCCCTTCTCCCTCAGGGCTCCAAAGCTCCCTAGTTTCGGGGAGGCCCTGGCACTGCCCCCCGCCCCAGCCTCCCTGGGAATTGTCCGCGTGGCTCCAGGTCCCCAGAAGGAGGGTTTCCCCCGATTCCCAGGAGCGGGGTGAGGCTGGAGGGTCCTCAGCCTAAAGCTTCTCATCTGGGGTCCCCACCTCCTCAGGGATAAACGGGAGGAAATGACTCCAAGACATGACTGAAGCAGGCCCCAGGCCGACGCCACCCCCCCTTCCTCGAGCCCCCCTCTCAGCGAGCCGCTGGGACGACCCCCTCCCCCACAGGAAGGACCCCAGAGCCCCAGATGGAATGCATGTGTGCAGCCCCAGGGGGTGTTGGGTTCCCGTCAGGGTGCCCAGGGGAGTCACAACCCTCACATCCAGGGCCAGCAGTGAAAATGAAATGGGGTGACCAAGCTCCCGCACAGCAAGCTCGGGCCCGTGACCACTGAGGTCAGGGGTGCACCCAGCACGCGCCCCCGTCCCGTGCAGGCGGGGGGGACAGGCTCGTGACCCCGCTTCTCTCCCTGCAGGTGCTGCTGCGGGCTCGGTGGGCAGTAAGTAGACACCACCTGGAGAGAAAGCGGGGACCTCCCTGCTCGTGCTGGCCCCCCTGCTTCCGCGCCCTCACCCCGCCTTCCGTCACCTCCTGTGGCCCGAGCCCCGCACCCTCGAGCTCCCCCAGTGCTGCTTTGGAAAGTAGGGGGAGCCACCCGTGGGCCCCTCACCCTGGGCCAACTCCCCCCTCCTCCCGCCACCGCATCTGGGGAAAAAGTCCCGCCTGCAGGAGAGCATGGGGGCCTCGCCCCCAACCAGGGCAGAGTCTCCCCGGCCGGGGCTCGGCTCCCGCGGGCAGCCCTGTCACTTGCTGCCCGGGCGGGCCGGGGAGTCTGGGCCAGGCTGGGGGCGGCCAGCAGGGATCCAGGTGGGTCCGGAGCAGCCTAGAGCAGGTCAGAGGTGGAGGAGGGTCGGGCGAGGGCGGGGCCCTGGCAGCAGCAGGCCCCCTGGCAGCAGCAGGCCCCCCTGGCAGCAGCAGGCCCCCCTGGCAGAGCAGGCCCAGCGAAGCAGGAGGCTTGTGGCGTCGCGGTTCAGCCCCTCCCCCAAGTCGGGCAGCGCCATCTGCTCTCAGGTCAGCAGGGAAGGACTTGCCGGCATCAGACGCCAGCTGGTGAAGCCCCCACTCTCAGAAACGCTTCGGGGCACCCCTCCACCAGGGCTCCTGGGAGCCACACCCCGCCCCACACCGCGAGCTGCTGGGGTCCCGGAGGGCGGAGAGGGTGCCTGCAGGAGCCGGGTCCCGCAGGGGCGGCTGGCCCACTTGGTAGGGTCCTAAGTCGCTTCTCTTTGTGGCCCCGGCCCCCCTCACGCCCTCCCTCTCACCCCCCATGACCCCCCACTCCTCTTGTCTCTGGACAAGGCATTGCATGTTCCGGAAAGATCCAGTCCCCAAAGTCCCCGTGACCACCCCACTCCTCCTGCCCCCTCCACACCCGCCGCATGGGCCTCCGTGGACCCAGCACCCCACAGCCCGCAGCGGGGTGCCCAGGTGCAGCCCCAGCTGCCCCGCCTCTGCCGTGCCCCACCAGGTCTGGCCTCTGTTGGTGATGTGGGGGGTCAGGCGGAGCAGCGTCAGCAGAGAAGGCAAGCTCCTCCAGTCGGCGCGGCCAGGGTTTAGAACATGCTGGCATTTGGGGGCGACTGGGGCCAGGCCCTCTCCTGGCGGCCTTTGGGTGGGGGGCTCAGCCCGCCCAAGTCAGGGTGAGTTCCGTGGGAAGTCTCCGCCTTCCTCGCCATCTTGCTTAATTCTTGGGGCACCCAGGCTGGCTCTCCCCACCATTTCCCTCTGCCTTCCTCCTCCTTGTCCCCGGAGGCCTGGGCAGGCGTGGGGGGCTGGCCGGGAGGCTGGGGGGCTTCAGGGCGGGACCCTCCGGAACTGTGCTGCCCCCACCGAGCCCAGGACAGCCACAAACAAGGGTGGGAGGCCGGACGCGCGGTCCCGTCTCGTCTCCACGACCCACAGTTTCTTCACGTGGGCTCCATGCGCCTCCTCCACCATCCACCTTCGAGCTGCTTCCGATGCGGTGCTGGGGGTGGGGGGGGCCTCCAAGCTGGGCGTTAAGGAGCCAGAGGCCTTGACAGTAGATATGAGGTAAGTGGAACCCCTAGGGCCCCCAGGACCCCAGTGAGGAAGGGGCACCCCTCCCTCAGGCTGGACTAGCAGACGTTCCTCGAGGGCATGGTCAGGTTTGTATCCTGGCCCCGGCCAGGCCGGGGTGCTGAGGGGAACAGGGTTCTGGCGTGACAGCCAATGACCAGGACAGCCCCCCCAGGGGCCACAGCTCCCCTTAACCACTGAAGCCTCTGCTGGGCCCTTATACCTGAACCCCCCACCACTGACAGCGGGCAGTGGGGGGCTTCCAGGCTCGCCCCCCCACTTGGGGTTAGGCCCACAGGTGAGCCTGCTGGAGCGGCTGATTTTATGGCCGGGTTGTTCCACCCGGATAAAGCTGTTGGGAAAGAAAAAAGGAAGAAGCAGCTGCTTAAAGTAACAGCCTGGAAGGCCTCGCAGCCCTGGAACTGGGAACTCACCTGTGCAGCTCCGGGGCTCCGCCCTGAAGCTGGGGGGCTGCACTCGGCTCCCCAACTCCCATGGAACAGACGGCCTCCATCTGCTCTTGGCTCCCAGCAGGCCACCGCGAATGTTCTCCCCGCACACCCGCAGGTGTCTCAGGGGAGCCCAGCGGGACTCTCCCGCCCCACCCGGCCCAGAAAGGTCTTGCGTCTCCCCAGGCGCCTCCTAAGGAGGCCAGCCGGGCCCATGCACAGGGCACATGTCCTCCCGCAGCCAAAGGCAGGGGTGCCCGGGGGTAACGTCTGCCCCAGGCCAGGAAGCCTCTCCCAGCACACTCCCCGCTCCCCCAGGACGGTGGGAGAGAAGGCTCCAGAACGGAGTGCCTTCCGGGCAGGCTTTACTGCAGCTCTAATGAAGCCCTTGCCAATCCGGCCGGCCGCCCTCCTCACTGAGCACCTTATTAGTGTCAACGTGAGCGCAGAGGCCTGGCTCCCAGCTGGGCCCGCCTCCCGCGCTTCCGGAGGGTGGGTTTTCTTTTCTCCCCCATCAGCCGTCCTTAGGCGTATCCCTCTAAGAAGTGGAAAAATCAGATTTCTCCCCTGGCCCTCCGGGCTGTCCTTTGAAATTCAGGGCAGAGTGGGGGGCTCAGGGGCTTGGCCCAGCTGCTTTCCCAGCTGCAGGCTGTTAGTCGTGGGGACCGCGCTGTGGGACCACAGCATGACCCGGGGCTGGACGCCCCCTGGGACCCTAACTGGGGTCAGGGGAAAAGCACGCCCAGTGTTGGAGGGCGCCCTGCTCTGGATCGAGGTTGCACAGGAAGCCGCAGGGGCCTCTACATGTCTGATCTCTTGACCTGAACACACGTTTGCCTCCCCAGCCTTAGCCAGAGGTGACAGCCTGAAGCGATCCGGCCCATCCAACTCTCCCCGTCAGTGGGAATGGGGACCACATGGGGAGTCCCCAAGTCAGGTGTCCTGCTGAAGGGCTGACCAGAGTATGCAGTCTCGGGCCCGGGGCCCTCCCGCTGGCTCCAGTCCCGATGTGCCCGCCGCCGGCTGCTGTGTGTAGCTGCCACCTCCCCGTGGATCTGGACACAGTTCTGCTTGGCCTGTGTAGACAGAGCCCTCTCCTTACAGCTCTGCTTTAGGGGCCCTGAGAGTGGGGTGCGAGGCCTCCGTGTGTCCCCAGGGTTCCCCAGCAGCCCCCATGTAACTTGCTTTCTTTCTTTCCCCCAAGAGTGGATCAGGCCATCTACAGCTGCCCCCCTCGGGGAGAGCCCCCCGGGGGCCCAGGTGTCCTCCAGTGCAGAAGGTATGGGGGGCAGCGCCTGTGATAACCCTTAGACCCCAGGGAGCGTCTTCCCTCTGTAGGAGACACAGCAGGTGGGCAGCTGGGAGGGGCCCTGGGCGCTCTACCCGCGCTACCCCAGGTCTCACCTGTGTGGACAGGTGGGGTGTGGCACCACCAAACCAGGCCTTTTAATCCTGTGCTTCTCCCAAGGGCTTAAGAGCCAAGCGGAGACGGTCCTCTTGCGAGTAGGCTGCACCCCGCCCGTCACGTCATCCACTGGACCCTGCGCTTTGATGGGGTGCAGAGAGTCAGGGGCTTCCTCGGGGCTGGGCGCTCAGCAGTCGGGCCCAGAAGGGGCTGCCTGTGAGATGAGGGGAGAGGGCGGTGCCGTCCAGGAGGCAGGGCAGCTGGGCAAAGGCTGGCAGTGAGCAGCCGCCTGACCAGACGCGGTGGCTGATGAAGGGCCGGGGCATCGGGGACACGAGTCTCACCCTGCTGGCAGCCAGTGGGCCGGCCCGGAGCCTCCAGAGGATGCGGTCCTGCCGCCCCCCACCCCCCCCACCTCATCCCGGCCCCAGGGGCAGGCCTCTGGGCGCCCTCTGCCGGCGAGCGGCTCTGAGTGGGCACCACTACGCGCAGGCCGGAGTCAGGGGTCCTCCGGGTGACCCAGAGGCTGGCGGCTGAAGGCCCCGAAGCGAGGCCGTGGGCCGCGGGGACAAGGGCTGCTGACCCACTGAGCGGGCCGGGGCCCCTGGGCCCCTGGGTCTGGGCTGGAGGCCGGGAGGACGGGGGTTGGTGGAGGACTCCCGCTGGCCGGAGAGGGACAGTGCTGGGAAAGGGAGGGAGAGGCCGGCCCCGAGCGCCGAGCTCCCACCCTGGGTCTGGTGCTCCAGGTGACTGAAGAGGCCATGTTTTCCGGGGAGAGAAACAAGTCACGGGGTAACCCCGCCCGCTGTGTAGACGGTCTCTGAAGGGGACCAGAGGTAGGCACCCCTTCATGCCCCGGAGGTGCTGTCACCTCAAACCTGGGGCCCTCGGGAGCTGCATGGCACCGGCGGGTCCTTGCGGCCCACCCATCCCCGGGGCCACGGCTGACGGAAGAGCTGTGTTTCTAACCCCTCCAAGCTGTGGGCGCCCGCACCCTGCCCTTGCCGAGGCCTCCGGACCTTTCCGGCTTAAGCCCAAATCTCCCATGATGCCTCCTGGAGAACTCCCAGGTGAGAGGGAGGCCGGCCCCAGCGGCCCCCCCCGCCCCCCGCACTCCTGCCAAGAGGAGCTGAGAAGGCCCTGGGAGTTGCTGGGTCAAGGTGAAGCCGGACTGTCTCCCGCCCTGCCTCCCCCAGGGAGCCCGGAGCAGCGCGAGTCAGCCTGGGTGGGCAGGCCCAGGGCCGGCAGGCTGGGCCAGAAATAGCCCGCCTGGCTCTCCGGGAGGGGCCCGGGGGCTCGTGGCGGTCGAAGCCAGATCTGGGACACTGGAGGATGCCTCACCTCGTCCTTGTCCCCGGGGGGACCAGGGGAAGGGGTGGCCCCGGGCCCTGGCTAGTCCCTTCTTCAGGGCACACTTTCTTGCTCAGGGCGGGGTTGAGCTCTTAGGACAGACGCCAAGGGATGGGCCGTCACGGCAGGAAAGGTGACCCTCCTCGCCAAACCTCCCCCCCCCCCCCCCCCCCCGTGACAGACGGCCCTGCCCCACCCCGGGGTCGTGGACTTGGCCGGTCCCCGTGCCGATGTGGCGCTGGCTGCCCCTCGGAGGAGGGACAAGCTGGACCAGAGGACCAGACTGGGTGGGGGTAGAGAGACGCCCAGGGGGCTGTCAGCCACTAGCTCTGGGGGTCCGGAGAGTGAGGCCTTCGTGGCCGGTGAAACTTGCAGACCTGCTCAGGCTAAAAAGAAAGGCCCAGCAGGGGGGCAGTGGCCCCCAGCCATCCTCCAAAGCAGCACGGGGGGCAAGCTCCCGCCCGCGCCATCTTGTCCTGCACCCGTGCATGCCTCTGCGCCTTACGGGACCTCTGGGGGCGATGGGGGAAGGGGAGCCCCCACCGTCTTCCCTGGCTGCATGACCTGTCCTGCCTGCCTGGATCATTCCAAGCCACCGGGTGTCACGTGGGCGTCCATGAGAGCACCTCGCCGGGCACCCTGCCAGGTCCCTGGCGGACGCGGCCCCTGGCCCTCCTGGTGCCCCGCCCGCAGCTGGGACAGGGGGCTCTTCCCAGATGGGGGCTGCCTGGGGGCCAGGGGCGCTGTCGGGTGCAGGCCACTTTCCAGAGACTAGCACCTCCCTGCCCGTCTCTGGTGGGCGGCTCCTTCCGCTCGGGGCCTCAGTTTCCCCAAGGGCACGGTGGGGTGCGTGGGCGAGGGTGTCAGGCGGCAGGACGCAGCTTCTCCCTTCACCCCCTGACCCTCGGGTTTCCTCGCGCGCCGGCCAGACTGCGAGTGCTACGGCCACTCCAACCGCTGCAGCTACATCGACTTCCTCAACGTGGTGACGTGCGTCAGCTGCAAGCACAACACGCGGGGCCAGCACTGCCAGCACTGCCGCCTGGGCTACTACCGCAACGGCTCGGCCGAGCTGGACGACGAGAACGTGTGCATCGGTCAGCGCGGGGCGGGGCGCGGGGCGGGTTGGGGGGCACAGCGCGGGGAGCGGGGCGCAGGACCGCAGGGCAGAGCCGTGAGGTGGGGTCGGGAGACCCCAGTGTCAGGATCCCCGGGAGGCTGTGGAGTCCCAGCTCCAGGGCCTTCTCTGGCCAGCTGGCTCTGGAGACCGAAGCCTCTGGAAGCTGCTGTTAACAACCTCCCCAGGCCCTGGAGCTGGAGTCTCCTTCCTCTCTGGCCTCCACTTCCAGTTCAGAGTTATCAGTTCTTTGTGGCTGAAGCTTGTCTTCAAATACTCTCGAAGCCGAGGCCGTTTGTCAAGCTGGCCCCGCCGTGGGCACCTGCTGTCTCAAAGTCCTGTTTCAGGACTGGTTTGGCCCAGGGCAGGCCAAGCCACCCCCGAGGGCCCCCAACCTAGAAGGGGTGCCCACAACCATGCCCTGCTGGGTAGAGGCCAGGTTCAGCCCTAGGGTGCCCAGCCCCCAGAGGCCCTGTAGGGGCAGGAAGGCCAAAGAGCAGGACCTCTATGACCTGAGCAGACGGGGTGAAGGAGAGTCCTGGAGCCCTCGGTGGCTTTTTCAGTCTTTTATTGAGTTTGCCAGGTACACGGCAGGCAGTGCTGGGGCGGGGGCCGGGAGGCTGGCGGGCCTCCCAGCCCCCCCGGCAAATCTTCACTCTTTTCTGGGCTCTCTGGTGTTCTCTCGTGGCCTCGGCTTCTCTGCTGGTTCTGTTCCGGTCCCTCTTTTCGCTCTGCTGGCGCCCCTCTGCTGGCCCTTATAACCCCATCTTAGCCCAGGTGCATCCACCGGTGCAAGCCCAGGCCCTACTGCAGGTGTCCGCCATCAGGCAGGCATTCAATCCAAAGGCAGGAGGGCGGAAAAGCCTGATACTTTTTACTTACTCTGCAGGCCCCATGCCCACCCACCAGGCCAGCTGAGGGGGAGCTGGGGCTGTCCTTGCGAATCATGGAGGTGGACCCCAGAAAGTGATCAAAACAGAATGGTGCCTCCGTGCAGGCTGGCCAGCTGCAGGCGGAAGACCAGGCCTCTGGGCGGTCAGAGGCGGTGCCCTCCTGGCCCCCTCCTGGCTCCCTTCTTCCTACCTCCCTCTGCCTTTACCCCCAGGCTCAGACCTGGGCTTCAGGAACCCCCAGAGGGGGACATTTGCCCTCCCCACAGAGCAGAGGCCTTAAAAAACCAACTGGGGAGCAGCAGGGGAGCCTGGAGGCCCCTGGGCTGTACCACCTCCGCACCGCCCCCCCCAGGGAAGGAGCTGTAGACTGGGCTGAGCCCACCCCCAGGGGTGGGGGGGTGAGCGGCCTAGGTGAAGCTCTCTCGGCCTGTGGAGGCATAGGTGGGAGCTGGGGAGGATCCAGTTACAGATGCAGAGAGGAGGCCCCGGGAGGGCATGCGGAGGCCAGCCCAGACCGCACTGCAGGGGTCAGGAAAGGGGAGCCGGTGGGTAATGGATGTCAGGCAAGCAAGCCCGCCTTCCCTGGAGAGCGGACACCCCGGCTGGCCTGGACACCGGTGGGGCACAGGGCCAGGGAGTGGAGACAGGCAGGGCCGGCTGCAGGTGGAGCCAGGCTGGGGCGCACAGGCTCCCTGACCCGCCGCGTGTCTGTCCAGAGTGTAACTGCAACCAGATCGGTTCCTTGCACGACCGCTGCAACGAGACGGGCTTCTGCGAGTGCCGCGAGGGCGCTGTGGGCCCCAAGTGTGACGACTGCCTGCCCACGCACTACTGGCGCCAGGGCTGCCACCGTGAGTGCCCCGCGGGCGCGGGGTGGGGACCGGGTGCTGCTGGGTGGGGTCCAGGCAGGGCCGGGGCTAGGCGGCCAGATGCCGAAGTAGTGGAGCGGGTGCCACGTGGAGCCCCCCCCCCCCCCGCGAGGTCCCTGGCGAAGGGCTGGGCTGGGCTGGGAGGGGAGGGCTGGGGGCAGCGGGAGGGAGGGGTGCCCCCGAGGAGGTGAAGGCCAGGAGCGGCCTTGGCGGCGGGAAGAGCATGGACCGCGCGGCCATGGCACTGGAGAGGGTGCGCGGCGTCGGGGACCCGCCGAGGCCGGCCGGCCCGGGGTGGCACTGGGATCCGCAGGGCAGGGGCCGGAGGGAGCGGGGCCGGGTCTCCCCCGCCTGCGTTGTGGGTGCCAGGCAGGCACCTCGGCGCTCCCGGGCACCCACAGCCTCCAGCACCCCACGCTAAGCCGCGCCCGGCCTCCCGCAGAGGCCACCGGGTCCCCGCACAGGGGTGGCCGCCCCCGCTAACCGCCCCTCGCCCCGCAGCCAACGTGTGCGACGACGACCAGCTGCTCTGCCTGAACGGCGGCACCTGCTTGAAGAACCAGCGCTGCAACTGCTCGCGCGGCTACACGGGCCTGCACTGCGAGCAGCCGCGCTGCGGCCCCGCCGGCGACGCCGGCGACCTGGACTGCGACCGCGCGCCCGCGGCCGCCCCGCGCCCCGCCACCCTGCTCGGCTGCCCGCTGCTGCTGGGGCTGGCCGCCCTCCTGGCCTGCTGAGCCCCGGACCCGGCCGGGAAGGCTGATGCGTGCCCTGCGCGGGGGAGCCCGGGGGGCCCGGAGACCCCAGAGCCGGCGTCCGAGAAGGGCGCGGGGCGGCCCCGCTGCTCCTAGGTGCTACTCAGCAGAGTCCTCCTGCCTCCTCCCCGGCACCTGCCCCGCCCGGCGCTGCCCTCCCGCGCAGGGGGCTGCGGGCCGCCCCCGGGCCTGCATTTGGTCTTAGTTTTTGTATTAACCGCCACTCTTTCCTTACTATGGTTACTGTTCTCATTTGCTGGCGGGGAGAGGGCACGGGGAGAGGCGCTGCTCGCCCCACACCCCGGCCCGACACATCCACGACTGTTGCAGACGCCCCTGCGCCGCCCCCGGGCACCATCAGCCAGAGGACCCGAAACTCCAGTTGCCTACACTAGTCGCTGACGGATCTCTTTTCTATTCTCTGTTTTCCTTTGCGGCCCGCCAGACCCAGGCCGGGAGGGCTGGGCGGGAGGCAGGCAGGAGGGCTGGGCGGGTGGCCACTCGCTGTGTGGAGAACTGTTTGTTGGTGGTAAGCCTCCCCTGGCAGGGGGGCGCCTGGGGACCCCAGCCGGCGCGGCTGGCGGTGTACGCTCTCGAGTAAAGGATCTGCTCAAGGCTGTGTCCGGGGCCTGCTTTCTTTCCGTGTTGTTCACACCTGTAGGTTTGGGGTTTGAAGAGGAGCCTGAAAATAGCCTTAAAAAGTGGATTTCACTGTCAGGGCCCCACTTCCCCAGGCCCGGGCAAGCGAAGAAGCCCCCCTCCTCCAGGCAGGCTGCCCAGAGTGCTCTCAGGCCTCGGCCCGGGGTGGCACTGCCAAATGACCCACGTGGTAGGAGGATCCCCAAGCTTGGGAGGTAGTCTCTCTACCCCCCCAAATCCAAAGTCAATTGGCACTTTTTCTCAGTGTTCCCAAACTTATCAGGACATGCTGAGCCTACCTATCGTTGCTGAGGGGTCCAGGGAGTGGCCAGCAGGACATTCCGATAGCATGTGACTTGGGTGGGCCTGTCCTCTCAGATGCCCCCAAACCCGCGGCCCAGAGCCGCGGCCACCACCTCCTCCCAAGGCCCCTGCTGGCCAAGCTCCCCAGGTGGACGCAGGCAGGTGATGGGGCCACCCTCCCCTTCTGCTTTCTCTCCTGAAGGTTGGGGGGCATGTCCGGGACCCAGGGGCAGCCTGGGGGTGTGAGGTGTATCCTCCCTTTGCCACAGAGGCCCTGGGGTCCTGGAGCCCATGGGATTCTTCCAGAGCACATGGGATTCTGAGTCCCATAGATGCCATTCGGGGCTCCAGCTGCAGCTGGGATGGTCAAGTCCCCACAGGCCCCCAAGGCAGTGCTAAGCCTGTTTAACGGCCCTTGGTTTGAGGGTAAGTAGAGGTCGCAACACTGAGGAGGAAGCTGGACATGTCCCACAGCCTCTCAGCCCAAAGGCCCCCCCCCCCCCCCCGTCCCCCTCAACACCAGGTTGCAGGGGCAGCTCCCAACCCCCCAGGGAAGTGCCTTAGGTCAGACCCCGCCACCCCCACCCCTACGCTTCCCCAGCTCCATCATCACCTCATCCTCTAACAGAACCCCACTCAGCCCAGCTAAAATGAAACACCCAGGTCCTCCTGGTCGGTGGGAGTGGCCACGGACCCAGTTCTGGCCAATGACACATAAGCAGGAGTGATGGGTGGGGCTTCTAGAAAGTTCCTTAAAAGCTTCCCCTTCCCCCATTCCCCACCAAGCTTCCATTGGTCAAATTTTTGGGCTCCGAGTTTTCTCTTTTGTCCCTCCTCATTCAGGGACTCCTGCCGTGGGGCGTGGGGAGGGGCCACCTAGCACCCCTGGGTGCCAGCGGATCTCCCAGGATGGTGGGGCCCGGAAAGTGAACGTGGCTTTTCTGAGGACCAGCAGAGTTGGGGACACCAGCCCTGGCTGCCGACCTCCCCACTTCTTCATATGTGAGAAAAAAATAAACCTTAATGTGATCACAACACTGGAATTTGGGTTTTCTGTTACCCGCAGGCCACCTGACACCCATGGCCCTGCCCCGGGGGGGTCCGTCTTGCTGTCCCGGCGGGTCTTTCCAGAACGGCTCCTCCTCCACTTCCGGGGGCACAGGGCGGGCCGGGCAAACCCACTTCTCAGTAGACGCCAGCACCGGCTGCCATTTGAAAGCGCCACGGGCCTCCCCACACCAGGACAGTGAACTCCCAGTGTTATAGGGCAGCCCCGATATTAAACGGGTTCCTGGCTGGGGGTCCTCACCCGCGCGCTTACAAGGGACTTACGAATACTCCACTGCAGACACACACAGAAGGTTCATAAAAGGTTTATTGACAAGGGAAACGGAAATAAGGAAAACGGACAACTCAGGGAGAAAATAGGGAAATAAAGTCTTTCACGCGTCCTACCCGATCCGCCGACCTGGAAACCCAAAGTCACTCTCAGAGCTGGCCGGACGCTGCGAGCTGGCGGGGAGCCAAAATGGGGGACCCCCAAAGCCCACGTGTCTGGCTTTATCCCAACCTGGCTGCTGAACCCCACCCTCAGGTCCCAGCCCCCTTCCCTCGGGTGGGGATGGGATGTGGAGTTCCCAGGGTCTTTGGCTTGGGCCTGGGGTGGGGGTGGCGTCCACAAACCCTTCATGGAATGAGCTTTAGGACAGCCTTTCCCCTAACACCAGGACCCTGTGATGGAAGCATCTCGAGCAGGGCCGGTCCAGGATTCCTGGGGGGCACCCTGTCGTGAAGACAAAGGAAGGAGAGGAAAAGGGAAGAGGAAGGGAGCGGGGAGTCCCCCCAGGGGGCCTGGACCTCCCGTGTCTTGAGGTTCCCGCCTGAGGGGGTGGCCGTGAGCTGTCAACAGGCCGTCACCCGCAGGGGCTCCCGCAAAGGGGCTCAGGGTCGGGTACTACACCCACTTGTGTCTCCTGGGTGTGTCCCCAGAGGTGCCCCAGGGCCCTGGGGGGCAGGGAGGGGCCTCGGTGGGCTGGGTCTGTCCTCCCGAGCCCCCAGCCCTGCCGCTGTGTCAGCTTCCCTGGCGTGGAGGGGCAGCGCGTCGTAAATCAGAGTGGCAGCAGGGTCCCCGAGGGCCGCTCAGGCCCTGCCCTCGGCCGGAGGGTGGAGGGAACGTTGCCAGCGGCCATTTGGAAAGCTGACATCTTCCAGCCGCGGGGAGAAGGAGAAAGCAAGGTCAGCGAGCCCCAAGCCGGGGCCAGCCTTCGTGGCGGTGCCCCCGTCCCTCAGCTGGGCGACGGCACCCACGCCCGCCGGTGCGCAGTTGAGGCCTAACGCTTCTCAGCCCGCAGCTGTTGATGGGGGGCTGGATAATTCTGGGGGCTGGGGGCACAGGGCAGGGGCTGTCCCGGGTCCTGTAGGATGTTAGTGTTAGTGGCCCCGAGCCAATCGGTGCCGGTGTTCCAGGGCAGCCCCACGTGTCTGGTTTTTATACCAACCCTGGCTGCGTCGCCCCACCCTCAGGTCCCGCCACCTTCCCTTTGGGGGTGATGGGACTCGTCCTGCCCGGTGTCTTGACGGCTTTGGTCTGGGGTGGGGGTGGCGTCCACGAGGCCTGTGTGCAGTCAGCTCAGGACAGCCTCTCCCCTGACACCAGCGGCACGGCCACTCGCTGGGCCACCCAGTGCCCGGTGAGCAAATTGGGGGCAAAATCACCCAGGTTGAGAACCCCTGCCTGTTTTCCAGAGGGGCTGGGCGGGGAGTAAGCCCGTGCTGAGAAGCTGGAGCAGGAGGGGACTCAGAATAGCCCTGGCTGAGCCCAGTGTTTACTGAAGACCCCCCCAGGACCCCCCGCCCCCAGGGCAGAGCTGCAGCCTCCCCCTGCAGGGGCTTCGGGGCAGGGGAGCCGGGAGCCTGGGGAGCCGGGCTTCATCTGAATGGCTCTGCTGTCAGGGAAAAGCCTCTCGTCAGCCCCTCTGGCAGCCGCCTGGCCCCCGCCCCCTGCCCCCTCCTGCCCCCTCTAAATAAGCAGCTGCTGCCTCAGCAGCTCCTGCCTCCCCCAGCCTTACAGCTCCAGGCGTTCATGGGCGCCTGGGGAGCAGCCATCAGCCTCTCCCCACACCCTGGCCAGCCGGGGCTGAGGAGCCACCCCAGGCCCCGCTCCTGCCCCCACACCCGCACGGAGGGCCCGTCAGCCTCCGCAGCCCCAGGGGGACCCCGCGCATCTCGGGCCAGAGGAGCTAAGGGAAAGGCACGTGGAGAAGAGCTTTACTTCTTTATTTTCCTTTTTAAACACAAACCAGCAGGGGAAGGAAGCCGGGGTTACAGAGGCGCAAGATAACAATGAAGCTGCCCGCGGCCCTCCGCCCGGAGCAGGCGCTGGTACTGCCCGGCCGCCGCCAGCCGAGGCTGGACCCCTTTCCTGGGCGCAAGCCGGGCGGGGCCGGGGTCAGCAAGCCATCTCCCCGCTGAGACACCCCCCAATGCCCGCTCTGAACACCCTCTCCAGGTGGGCAGCAGAAAAGAGGACGATTGAAGGATGGAGCCGCCCCCCGCCCTGCCTTCACACGCACACACACGCACGCACGCACGCACACGCACACATGCACACACATGCACAAGTGGGCCAGGTGCAGAGAGGGCACCGAGATGCTGGGGCAGCTGGCCAGGGGCAGCCACTGTTATGCCTGCGGGCCAGGCGCTGCCAGCGCTGCCCCCACGCGTGCCCACACCCCACGCTTGCATCTCCCACTCCGAGGGAGGGGGGCTCTCTCTTTCCACCCCGCAGCCGGGCTGGGAGAAACGGGGGCTCTGGCACAGGAGGGCACGCCCAGGGCGGCCCAGCGGGCGAGGAGAGCTGGGAAGCAGCCCCCGGGTCTGTGCCCCGCGGGGGCGGCAGCTGTGCCCCTGCCCCGTGCGTCTCGGCCGGTGCGGAGACGCCTCAGCAAGGGGCTCGACTATCCAAGGGGGTCTTTTAAAATAAAAATGGAAACTCAAAACCCCGCCCTCTCTTTTCTGCCCCTTCGGGACGGAGCCGGCTC